TTTATGGACAAGTTTCAAACTAAGATTATTTTATAAAGAGATATGCATTTTTTGGTCAAATATCTTAATACTTTGCTAACAGGCAAAAACTTTACTGCCCATTTCTTTGCCTTTTGTGGGGGATAATCTGTATTTCTTTAAACTAAAGAAGCTTAGTAAGTTTTCTACAACAGGTAAGATACTAACTGTTCATAACTTACACTTGAGCCGAGCTGAACTCATCATTCAAAGAACCAAAACAATAAATCCCTTTTTTATTAATAAACTGGATGTCTCACCCTCTGGCATTGTCCAGGTGGAGAAGAAATCCTTCATCTCCAAATTTGGTGAAAATTTCATAATGGTGTCTGTCCATRTTACCTGTTCRAACAAATGAAGAGCATTTCATTAAYAAATGCTCAGATTTAATGCAACAATGTGATATATTGACATGAAATACCTATTAGAAAATCAAAGATGGACATGTCTATGATGTTGAGCAGCCTGCTGCCTGAGTTATATGGAGGCATTTGCTTTACTGAGTCACAGAAGAAAGGATTCACTTCCCACCTATGAAGAAAACAAAAGAGACAAAAAGGATTTGTYGAAACGATCACGGTGGATCATAAATGAGTCTAATTAAAATGTGTCATCTTGTCAGAAAGCAGCCTTTTAAATGGATCGTTTACTTAAAACCCAAATTGGATAAAAGTTTTTTCCCTTCTGAGGAYAACAGGAACAACATTCCAGTCGTATGGGAAACTCTTCCGGCGTGCAGGTGTTGAACTCTTACTCCTGGTGTCCGTTGAAGGTGTAGGAGCGTGTCCAGGGGTTGGGGATGGAGAGGCGGGGAGCGATGCTGAGGCCCGGCAGGTAGGCGGAGAGCGAKCCCTCCAGCATGTCCGGGCTCCCACACACGGCATATTCTGTCTTACACACATAAAGGCACTTGGCGAAGAAACACGTGTTGTTTGCTGTTTGGAGATAAGAGTAAAATAAATAAATAAATAAAATGAACATGCTTAAATGAGATTGCAACCAAAGTTACACATATTTTGAAATCCACACTCACAAAGAAAGCTGCAAAGTTACTGGCCCTTAATGTGGTATGCTCTTGCCAAGAATAAAAAAACATAKTGAATATTTATACTTTTAAGACTATATGCTTATTTATTGTCCTGAAGTTCTTTTAAAGCACAGACGGGATGAAATTAAGAGTTTTGTCAAACTACACAAATATGCGACTGCTAATAACTTTGTGAATTGCTCTGATTCATTTATTATGCACTACAACTTGTCAAAGATTSTGCAGAATTTCAAAACGTGAAGTCATTTAATCAGACTTTCCTTCATGGATAAATGCACGCAAGTGTCTGAAATAATGATTTTTGAGTTTCCCTTATTTGTTTGATGGTGTTTAATGAAAAGATGCAGTGTTGTTTTTTTCACTTGATAGAAAAATGTCAACATCTAGAAATAGCAATAATGATAACATGAGGTGTATTTTTTATTTTCCACCAAGAGCAAAATCCTTGAGGCTGAAAATATGTCCATTAAACATGAATGTCTTGTTTTCTTTATGGCTCTAAATCAGTTAATGAGTCTCTGCTTCTTCCTTCACTACAACCCCTGGCAAAAAGTATGGAATCACCAGTCTTGGATGAGCACTCATTCAGACATTTC